TGAGTAAAGTGAGTAAAGTAATTAAAGTAAAAAGAAAAGTAAGTAAAGTAAGTGAGTAAAGTAAGTAGGTAAAGTAAGTAAAGTAAGTAACTAAGTAAAGTAATAAGTAAAGTTAAGTGAGTAATGTAACTAAAGTAAGTACATAACTAAGTACGTAATTGAGTAAAGTAAGTAAAGTAACTAACTAAAATAGTAAGTAAAGTGAGTAACGTGAGTAAAGTAATTAAGTAAGTAAAGTAAGTGAGTAAAGTGAGTAATGTGAGCAAAGTAAGTAAATAAATAAGTAAAGTAAGTAAGCAAAGTAAAGCAAGTAAGCAAAGTGAGTAAGTAAAGTAAGCAAGTAAGTAAAGTAAGTGAGTAACATGAGTAATATGAGTAAAGTGAGTAACATGAGTAACGTGAGTAAAGTAAGTAAATAAACAAACAAATAAATAAATAAATAAGGATCTAAAAAAACCCCAAAAAGAATTAGAGGCACTCCACAGATATTTCAAGTACTATTTTCAATATCCAGACTATGGAACAGCTATGTAAAAGATGAAAAGATTTAGATGTGGTATATATAACCACAACCAAATAAGTATCAGCCCTGAGAAATAAATAAAATCAAATAATTTGTGATAACAAAGATGAAATGGAATGGAGAGTATATTGTGTGAAATTAGTCATGAGAAAGACAAGTATGAGATGATTTATTTACATGAAAAATAAAAAACAAAGCAAAGGAACAGGTAAAAAACCATGAAAGACGACAATAGTACTGAAGTTACTGAGGTTAGAACAAAGAATGGAGTTGGGGAATGGGCTAGAGAGGTGGGATAAATGAGGGAGGGAGTCAATGGATTATGGTAGAAGCTATTTGGTGTCTTGTTGATAAGTGTTCATGGAACATACATTTGCAGAGATGTAAAATTTAAACAATGGTATAAAATTTTATTTTTTAAAAGGGTATCACTGAAGACAGTTCCTTGCTTTACTTCTACGAGGATGAACTTGATTAACCAATGGATTACTTCATCTGGAGGATCCTACAGTTTAGGATGGAACACCTCCCTGACATCAGAGATGAGGAAGACTACACTAATGGGAAGTGGAGGAAATTCATGCTTCACTGAACAAGAGGTAGGCAGGAAGAGACAAATGAAGGGTATGGTTGGGGATGGAGGATGCAGTACAAATTGTGGAGCTATCATTTAGCTAGCCACAAGGCTAATGACCCTGAGGAGGAAAAAACGAATGGTGTGGGGTCACACATATCGATTAAGGGGAAAAATGCAGAGGAGCGAGGGTGCGCCCAGTGTACCAGGTCCTCAGTCAAAAAACCAAGGACAGAATGCTAGTCCCATCTTTCAAGACTGGTATTGAACTTGTGAAGCCCACTGATCTGGAGCATAGACAGCAGTCCCAGGACTGGAAATCCACAAAGAGGACTATCAACAGTACAACACATACAAGCTAACCTCTTTCCCCAAGAGCATTCACATCAGTCTTGACACCTCCAGGACATTCCTTTTAGTGCCTGACTCACAGCAGTTAGATCATATCTCTGGAACTATAAAATGCAGAAAAGCCAAATTTCTAAAATGACATAAAAACCATAGAACCACCTGCTATAAAGTTATAGGTAGTCAAATCTCTAAGATTCTAACAATTTTTTTAATGGGAAACTTAAAGCAGTAAAATGGACATGAAAAAATACAACCAGTGGCAACTTAAGGCTTCTTCAACAGACTATGATACAAGGTGTTTGCAAAAACTACACTTCCCTTCTAAGAAATACTGAAAGCAGCTCCTATATTTAAACCAGAAAGGGGGAAATACACAGAGAACTGACAAAGTCACCAGATAGAACCACAAAAATTAAGGACAAAATGGTAGTACCAAAAGTATACTAAAAGTCATTTTAAATGTAAATAGGTTAAACTTGCCAAAGATGTCTTTTATCTGTAGGTTGTATTAAGAAACAAAATTCAAACTTCTGCTGTTTACAGGAAAGGAACCTGAGCTCCAAAGATAAAAAAACAATTGTATCAGTCAATGAGACCCAGGAGAAGGTCAGCTATACTTAAATGGAGCAAATAAGATTTCCAGTTAAAACAGCTAAGAAGAGACAGGTAGGATAACTATGTAATGATTAAGGGACAAATACATGATGAAGACATAACACACATCAATTTATACTCACCAAAGTAAGGAACACCAAAGCATATTAGTCAACTACTGTCAACTCTGAAAAGAAACACTGGAAAGACACAATTGTATAGAAAAACTCATCACCCCACACTCACCATTGGACAGATCAACAAGACAGGAAATGAATAGCAACACAGTAGCCTTAAACAAAGAATGAAGGGGGAAAATGAGACCACTAAAACTAACAGATATCTATAGGGCGCTGCACTTTTTTGAAGTATACATGGCACATTCTCCAGGATTGACTACATATTAGGTTACAAATATTAAAAAAATTCATAGACTGAAATCATACCAAGCATCTTTGCTGAACATAATGGATCAAACTAGAAATTAACTACAAAAAGAAAGCAGAGAGGTCTTCTAATCTATTTAGACTGACCAACAAAATACTGAAAGACTACTTGGTTAATGAGAAAATAAAAACATACCACATAAATGACAATGATGACACACCATCTAGAATTTATGGGACACTTCAAACACATTACCAAGAAATATATAATAATACAGGCTCATATCATGAAACAAGAAAGGGCTCAAGTAAATTATCCCTCATCTGGAGGATGAGGATCAATTCTAAATGGGGAGAAGACTTGGATGCAAAACCCGAAACTACAAAAGACAGAAAAAAGTATAGGTAAATCACTTTACAACACAAGATTTAGGAATGTCTTAGAATTCTTCCTGAGTCACAAGGAAACTAAAAGAGAATATAGACAATTGGGATTGCATCAAAGTGAAAAGTTTCTGTATAGCAAAATAAACCATAATGCTATTGAATGGGAATAAATATTTGCATGCATGCATCTGATAAGGGACTGATACCAAAGATATACAAAGAGTTCACACAACTCAAAAAAAGCAAAGGAAACATCGCATTCAAAATAATGGACACTATTAACAAAAAAGCTAAATAGGCACTTTTACAAAGAAGACACAAAGACAAGCAATTGAAGAATGCTTATCATCACTGAGGATTAGGGAAATGCAAATCAAAACCACAATGAGATACCATCTCACATCTGTGAGAAAAAAACTGCTGATAAGTATGTGGAGAAAAGGAAGCCTCTTACACTGCTGGTAGTAACACAGACTAGCACATCCCTTATCTAAAAAATGTGGATGTTTCTCAAAATATTAAAAAGTAGATCTATTACAAGATCCACAATGCATCTCCTATGTATCAACCTGAAGAATGCAGAAACAACTAATAGCATGGGACAGATGCACTCCAAATTTGCTGCTGTACTATTTACAAAAGTTAAGCTATGGAAACAATATTAGTGCCTAATGACAAATGTGTAGGTTAAGAAGATGCAGTATACACACAATGGAACACTACTCAGGTATAAAACCATCTGAAGTAACAGGGATGGAATTGGAGGTGTTCCAAAGGAAAAGGACAAATAATAGATCTTTCACTTATATGTGGACTACAGAGAAACAAAACAAAGCATCAAACTAAACCAAACCTATAAAAAAAAAGTCCTAGAAATCTGACTAAATAACTAAGACTACCAGAGAGGGTGAGGAAGATGGAGGTTAAAGCTAGAGAAAGCCAAATAAATTACAGATGACTATGAATGCCTTGGTGATGGGTATAGTAATATTATTTCTCAAGAGGTGTGATATTATACCTCTGTAACATACAGTGTTGTAATCAAATGTTACCTCAAAAAGAAAAAAATAAAGAAAAATACTTTTTATTACCTTTTCTGCATTCTCTGAACTGGATCCAGAAAGTTCCAATATTCTTTTAGCTTTGTTCTCCTCAATTTCAGCAAAGCAATCTGGCTCACTGCTAAGAGCATCTCCTATTATCTTGTAAGTTTTACCCAAGAGAATATTTTGGTCAAGAAATGCTCCAGTATTTTTGCTTAAGTAGTTTGATGTGTTCTCACCTGATGCAAATATGCAAACACACAAATTTTTCAGATGTAAATGAATACCATGAATTAAAAAGAAGGTACTCAAATGTACAAGTGTTTACTAAGATATTACTGAAAATCAATCTTGAAGGTATGAGAAACTGATTTCAAACACTGGTTAGGAAATTTCTTGTATTTACACGAAAAACAAAAGTTCTTTTTCAGCAGTGTCAATGTCTACAGAGGTTAAGTAACTAAAACATTCAATAATGTTTTTTCAACCACAATTATTCTGCGTTATGTCAAAGTACCGAACTATGTATGCTACAAAGGACAGAAAAATGCCTCTTTTTAATGCATTTGTGCTTATACATTAATAACCTAGAATAGATTTTAAATTAATACTGTGATGCACAACTGATAAAGCAACAGGGACTGTTAAGAGTTAAAGGTCTAGTTCTGCTCTGAGCATGGGGTTCTTGACCAGGTGTTTGTTTAGTCTGGTCAAGCTGGCAGCTTGCAAAACTACAAAAAAAGAGGTGCAAAAAAAAGAAAGGGTAGTCATCTAGCTCGCTGCCCTGATCATCCACGGATCAGAATTCTCTGCCATATTTTTCTGACACATGAGCATAATAATTGCCCCTGCTTATTGCACAAAGCTGTCAGAAACTGCAACTATATACTATAATGATTAAAACCAAAGATTATTGAGTACTATTATCTTTTTTTTTTAAAGATTTATTTATTCATTCATACAGAACTGGGGTACAGGTCAGGGATGTGGAGGGTGAGAGGATTCACCAGAAACACAGTGGGGAGAACAGGCGGATCTACGAAGTACACTGCTGAGGGGGGCAGCAGCGGGTCTGGAGAGGTCTGCCTCGCCATGTTGGTCACCTCTGGGGCAGGAGGGATTGAAATAAAGCGGAAGTGGCTTAAACTTCTTAGTGCTGTGCTTTAACCTGCTGCGCCACCAGGGAGGGCCAAGTACTGTTATCTTAATAGCAAATTCTCCTCTCCCCCAAAGCCTCCCCCCCCAAAAAAAAACACATCATAAATACACTTAAAGATCCTAAATATGATTTTCTAATCCCTGGGTCAAAACAGAAAGCCTGTTTGTCCTATTTGTACTTTTACAAAGACTGGAGACTGGTATAATGTAATATCCTACTGAAGAGTGAAACTAAGAATGATGCCAACATGTTAGTACTATGTAGTACTATGTACCTTGAACATATGGTAACAGTATATTTGGCAAGAAACAAAATCTCCCCTTAGTCATAAAGGCTACATTTATGACTCAGTGAAGAAATGAGGAGGAAAAAGGCTTCACATGTTTAACAACGCTGGTTCTCCTATTTGGAAATTAAATTTTCAAAATAACTAAACTCCTAGACCCCATAATTTGGGCAAATTAAAGAGAGATTTTTAATTTCAATTTTATTTTAGCGATAAAGAAGGGAAGTGACAAATGTCACATGTCCTTGAGTATTATTAGGATACAAAGTACCTTGGCTTTAAATATTTAATAAATTATTAAAAGGTTTGATTTTCAAATGTCAGCAACTCAACAGAGTTAAAGACACAGAGACATAATGTAAAATAGTACTCAAACTGCTACAGACAAGATTAGTCAACTACCTAACAAGGAGACTGTCTTCAGCACAGTGAGAATCTGCTCAGGATGGCTCTGGCTCCAGCTCCGGCTGTGACTGAGCCGACAATAGCTCTGTGTCCATTTGACCTGCCAGTCATCTCTTGTTTTTGACTCTTTATACAGCTCCTTTAATAGTTTCATGGCAAGTGAGAAATTGTTCTATGCAAAAGAAAAAGAAAATAGTATGATAACATATAAGTGATAACTTGAAAGTATTTTACAGAAGCAGTTTTTGCTTTTTTTTTTTTTTTTTTAAGATTTACTGGCCTGTTTCCCTTTTTGCATATCATCATTCACCTTAGAGAACCCAAACCAACTTCTCAGCTTAAATTATGCGGAAGTATTTTATGTACCATGGGGACACTTTCCACATTTTTTTTTTTTAAGATTCATTTATTTATGCATACAGAACTGGGGTAGAAGCCAGAGGTGCAGGGGCAGAGAGAGGATTCACCAGGGTCAGAGTGGGGAATAGAACAGGCAAACTGACAAAGTACACTGCTGAGGGGAGCAGTGGGAGAGACAGGAGAGGTCTGCCATACAATGTGGATCACCTCCCAGGCTGGGGGTTGAACTCGCACGGAGACAGCTGAGGCTAGCTTGCAGTGCTGTGCTTTAAGCAGCTGTGCCACGAGGGAGGGTCCACTTGATATAACTTCTATCTTCATGAATTTATTGTCTTGTGACTCAGTCTGCTTCACTCCTGAGAATGACCCATGTTGTATTCGGCTTGTTTTGATTGTAGTGCCCTATAAAATATCTATTAGACCCAGGTAGTCTAGTTCTTCATTTAGAACGATTATGTCTTTATTTAATTTGTTGACAGGAGAAGTTTGCTGTGCCTTGTGGATCACCTCCGGGTCTGGGGATCAAACTCACACTGAAGTGGTTGTGGCTAGCTTGCTGCGTTGCATCTTAACCCACTGCATCATCAGAGAGGGCCCTATAATTCCATTTTTATTTGGTTGCTTGTTATGTCAGTGTTTTAAATCTAAACCTCTAATTCTATCCTAAGCATCAAGAGAAATTTTCATAAGATTTTGCCTTCTTAACCACTACCCTGTCAACAAACCAGGTTAATAATCCAAGTCATCTTCTCCATTATTCTAATATCTCAGGTCTTCTTACATTTACTTGCAGAATGTCCTTCACATTGTTCTCCTCACTACTACCATTTCCCTAATTCAAGGCTTAAAGGTCTCTGCTTTTCCCCTCAGCAGTCAGATCTTCTATACAGCTTCCAAAGTAGTTATCAAGTTTGAAACACCTTTGTTGACTTCTGAAGTATAAAATCTCCATTCTTTAGTTCAGCATTCAAATGCTTCATGATTCACGTTCATAATGCCTTCATGAGAACATCCCAGACCCCCATTTCTATGCTCAGAGCAACTCTGCAATTTCCATCTTCTCACCTTCATGATTTTGTTTGAATATATCATACACTGATAATACCACTCTCCAAGTCCAAGTTCTACTAGCGCCATAAAGCCCAGCCCAATGTCTCCTCCGTGAAGTTTTCCTATTCCAGTCAAAATTTCTTTTCTTGCCTATGCTCCTCTGGCACTGTGGCATCTCTTGTTTGTTATGTGTTGTAAGTGCAGGTTTGCTCTCACTAGACAATGATTACAAAGGCAAGGACAGTATCTTTTCCTTATAAAGCTGGGATGTAATTTCTTAGCTATACCAAATTCCTTGTTATTACTCCACCTAATTCATCAACTCAAATTATCCCATTCTGACCACAAACTGACTTTGCTACTCAAATTCCTGCTCTGCTGGCTTTAAAGTTATTTAAGACTTCTGGTAACCTTACCAGAATTCTTTTGCTTTCACTTATTTCCAAGTCCAATTAAGTACCACGCTTCACAATATCCTCAGATCATCAGCCTTTCTTTCTGTGTCACACCCATCTGAACATAAACCACTCTTTGGTTTTAATCAGAGTTTCCCATCTCTCCTCCCACTATACTTCAGATTCACTGGAGACAACCATGTTCTCAATACTTTTATAATGTGCTAGTCAGCTTTTTTCACCACAGCCCATAATAATCTCCAAATTTCCTCATTTTTTATTCTCTTTCTACTAATTTCTTCAGACTACTTACCCTTCTACTTTGCAGAGAAAAAATCTCTTTCTTTCTTATAAGTCCATTCTTCCTCCCCATCCTCCATTATGATACAAGACTAACCTTTGTCCTGAATGCTGTTCCTTCGAATCCACAAAGAATCTTATTTCACTAGGGTTCCTCCCATGGATGTCCAGATCCCTTCCATTGGGATTTAACCATCCAAATCTCTTCTATACTAATTTTTTTTTCCTATGACCCTATCTGCTCTTCCTTGCTACAGACTCTTTAGGAACAGCCTGTGCTCACTATACCCATATGCTTACTCTCAGCCATTCCTAAAACCAGTACAATATGACCTCTTTCACTCCAGTGAAGTGATTCTTACCAAACTCATTTATCAACCTCCTTGAAAATATAAGGACACTTGTCAACTTTTTCATACCTTCACTCTCTTGGTAACCACAACTGTTGAGTTCTGGCCCTTTCTCTGTTGTCTAGAAATATCCTGATCATCTTCTAATCTCATTAATCAGTTTCAGTTCCTTCACAGGGGTTCCTTCCTGAGCTTGACCCATAACTGTTAGTCTGTTTGAGAGACTGATCCACTCCCATAGTTTCAATGATTATTACATGCATATTATTCAAAACCCTGTAGCTAAGTAATAAACTGCAAATATATATAGATACAAATTTAATGGAAATCACAATTTACTTGTCTTACAGGTCTTTCAAATTCAATAAACTGTGAATTGAAAGTATCACCTTTCTTATAAGCTGCTCATTCTCCTGCACCCTCCTTCATCCAGCTACTCCAGACATAAACGTGGATATCATACTCTCTTCTCCCAAACAGAACTAGTCACAGGTCTCATAGAGGCTCCGTTTATTCCTAGAATCTGCACACTGATCTCTCCTTTCTTGACCTCTCACTAGATGTGGCTACATACTTATTAAATATGGATTATATAGAAGCTGGATAAACTCTGTTATTTCTCTGATCCTATCTCTTCACCACATCTCATCACCTTGATCACAAAAACAGTCATTTAGCGGAGATTAAAAAGTACTCTTTGCTCCACTCAGGAAAGCAAGTTCTCAGTGTCATTTCCAACTTTTCTATATTATTCCTGGATTTTCTGGTATTTGAAACATAAAAGTTCTTATCTTTAAGAAAAATACGTAAGTATTTTAACAAGTACAAAGCAAAAAATATTTTAATTAAATTTTTACTTGAATGATTTATAACTGAAAAACAATCTTTGCTTTATATTTGCTAAATTAACTTATTTTTAAATGAAATACCTTGTTTTTTCATCACTGCTAATTTTGGGATTACATATGATTTATCAAGGTGTGCTCAACACAGTTCTTCCAGTAGCAAAGCACCTTATAGTCTATCAGCATAGTCCTCTGTGCTGTTCCCAATGCCCTCTTCACCCTCTCCTCCCCACAATGGATACCCCTACTTATGGTCAGTTTTCAAGGTTTATCATTGCCTGACTCTATTTGGTTTTTCTATATTCTACATATAAGTGAAACCATCCAATATTTATCTTTCTCCTTCTGACTTATTTTACTTAGCATAATCCTTCTTTTGTAGTTCCATGGATGTTACCACAAATGGCATGAGTTTATCTTTTTTGATCACTGTGAAGTATTCT